GCTACCAGCTGCCAAACATAGTACAGAGATTATCGAAGCCACAGGCCACTTGGGAACAGGCTGCCTTCAGGGCAGACCATGCACGTTAGCTTCCTAACTGACAGCACAGATATAAGAACGTTGAATATTGGATGGGTTTAAAGATCTTCACACTAGGTTATGTCAAAATATCTACACAATGCTAGGGATATAGCCAAACTTTAGTTAGCCAGGCATTTGAGTTTCCATAGTTGCACTGAAACTTCAGCAGATAATAGCTGTTATTTTCAATGTTGCTGCCCCCAAGATTTATACACAGTGGTTTGTAGCTGAAAAACTACGGCTGTTCTTTATTAGGTCCCAATTCAACACAGTAACAAACGCGTCCTTCAAGCCATCTCTGTTTAGCAAAGCCAAGGAATATTCTTATTTCTAAGCGTGTGCCTAAGGGTTTTTTTTTTTATTTCAAAACTGAATTCACTAGGATATAATCATGTACTGAAATTTATGTCTAAGCACTTTTAGAGCCTGCCATGTGCTCAAGTGCTTTCGTAAATCAGGACTTCTGCAATTTAATTGCACTAAGTGGATGATAACAAAAGACAACAACAGGAATAAATCGTCTCACTGTGTTAAAGATCATGCGATTGACTCCAGACTTCAGCCATCCCCAGCCTTCAGAAGGGTCAAACGCTATACCCTTGTTCACACAGAGCGGTGCCTGCCTCCATAAATAGTGTCATCAAAGTGAAAGGGGCTGCCTCTGAAGTAACCTACTGAGTACAAACATGTGTGCTGGAGCCTGGCCCACGCTGTAAAGTACAAAAGAGAGGTGAGGGAAGGAGAATTAGATTTTAAACAGATACTTGCCACTGTTGAATAGACAAAGGAGATTTATTTGTTAACACTTAATTTAGGCCATGTCGAAATGCCACGTTTGTGTGTGCATGAATGAAAACTAGCAAGAACACATAATGTAGAGGGAAGGGCTTACTTGAGAAGCAGTTTAGTAACTTAGCACACCTGTTGTATCTCATGATAATTACAGCGAAACAAGATGGGAATCACAGCAGAACTGAGGTGCAGCACAAGAGCAAAAGAGCAAACATGCAACAGATTAAGGAAGCAGAAGTGGTAAAATTGTAAACCTGCTTAAGGAACACACTGTTGCCGTTACGAAAGCAGGAGCCAGTTCAGCATCCAGTTTTGTGCAGAGTATTGAGAGGGTGATAGCGTGGAGGGGAATCCTTTGGTAGCAGTTCAACTGCCTGGCCTGCCTCTTCGGTGCAGCCTCTAATGCTATACATAGAGGAGATCTAGATGTCCTGTGGTAAAACCAGCAGGCACTCTTCCAGCCACCTCGCTTGTCTTCAGCTCTCTGAACTATCACAGAGCAGTGAACATAACCCTAAACTCCACAGCTTATGGTCTCCCCGCCTCCACTATGTAGGAGGACCACTGGGGCTGGTCCCCAAAGGGGCTGAAGCTCCCAGCTGCTGTAGCGGTGTTCACAAGCCTCATTTGTGCCATTCAAAGTGCTGAAGGGCAGAGTAAGTATAAAGTGTGAACAACCTCTCTAGCAGGAACAGCTGTGCTACAATGCACAGTCCAGCTCTTCCATGTACAGTGAAATCTGTGGCAGTTTACCTTAAACCATAAACTGTGGCATTTTAGGAGTATGAGACCCTGCAGCGGGCCCTGTACCTTTCATCAGTGGAGCGAGGCGGATGGATGGAGTTTGTAATTGCTTCAGCCATTGCCTCTGCTGAATGTGCCTCAAGCCCAGACAATCATTTTACAAGATCTGTAACTCGGTGTTTGGGAGAAGGGAGTTTCCAAAGGCCTGGAATGGCCGGCATGCTGAATGGGAAAAGGGTGAAGTGGAAAGCATTTGAAGTCACTTTTCTTTCTTGGAATAGAGACGCTTACTTGCAGTCCTGAATTTCATGCCTTGTGAGACTATCAATATGCATGCATTTAAACTAATAACTGTGTGGGGGTTTTTTTCTCCTATGGATCCGAGCTGCAGTCCTTTAATCCTTACTCTAGCAAATAAAACTTTCTTCATATGAGTAGTGACTATAGACTCTGGCTCACAGTTTTAGTGCCTTGGCCATTACAGTCACCTGGTTTAAATACAAGCATAGAAATTTGGAGTGAATTAAACAAATGGTAGCTAAGAAAGCCCTACATGAACAAAGAAGAACTGCAGAGACGTATTGTGGACACCTGGAAAAGCCTGTCTCCTATTTGCAAGAAATATATAAACAATGTTCCAGGGAGACAAGTCTGTAATAAAAACTAATGGCGAACAAACAGAATACTGCACTGAGTAGTTCAAGAGGAATCTTTTTATACTTTTTTTTCTTTGAGGTATATGCTTCACAAGCATTTTGATTGATTAAAACAATTCCTTTTTATATTTACATTGCTAATCAAATCATGTGAACGATGGTAAGCTTTCCAGTCTTAGGAGAAGTACATTGTAGATTTAACATACTAAGCGGGACCCAGTTCTGTGCACAATTATGCAAGTGGCAAAATTCCCATTAATACATAGACATGTAAAAGAAAAGCGGCAGGTCAAATTTGATGCTGCTGTTTACAACTATTTAAGAAAAAATACATTATCCAGTTAAAGTCACTAAGCCTTATCTCAAGTATTAAAGTTAGATGGCTAAGCTTACTCATACAACTAGTTCCACTAATGATATAAGAAAGGGTATGCAGGACTTCTTCTGCAATTAATAACTCCCCCAGAGTAGTCTCTATCCTACACACCCCATCACACACTTGAGAGACACAAGAGAACACGTATCTACCTTTTACTGAGAAGACGACTCTGTGGCAGTTCTAAACAGGTTGATTTGAGTGCAACACTTAAGAAAGGTGGGCCTGTAGGCATGGAACTATAGATTGTGGATTCTCCCATTTGACTAGGAAGAGAAGGAGGTGAGACCTGATGGCCCAGAAACAAGCCAAAAAGAGGATGTTTATGAAAAGCTACGGAAATATTTTATTGTTACTGTCCAAAAATATGGACAGAGCTTTGTTTCCACATGAAACACAGATTCTCCTAAAAGCTCGCTTAGCATGCCAGGGAGGAATGTTTTCAAAGTCTGAGCCATCACACAGAACAATATCACACTGCTTATACGATCACTTTAAGTCTGGTAGTACACAATGCTATAAATAGCAACAACAATCTAAAGATGAAGTGTGTAGATACAATTAACGGTTAATTTATTCTAAATTGCATTTACCACATCATTAAGTAAAACATTTGTCAATATGGCAGTTATTTGTGAAATAATCTTTCAAACAAATTGCATTCAATTTGTGCTTCTAATCAGCCAGCCACACAATGCAATGTGAAGAGGTCAACTGGAACTATATCATATACATACCATATCATCAGAACAGAGATTAGTCACAATTAGGAACCTATTCTATGGTATCTGTATATGTTACGGCTATTGCTATTCTTTTAAAAGCTAAAGGACAACAAAAGGTGTATAGGAAAGCTTCCTTAGCTTTCTCTGGGGACAAATTATTATAATATTTGCTCGTGCTCAAAAAGTCAAAGGATTTGCACTTTGCGTGATCCATTTGTTTAAAGGGAGGTTGTTTGCGATCTAGACATAAACTTAACTTCAGCAGTTGCATTCTCTATTAATTGACTTCTGCTGGAGTCCCTTTATGCGATAAACATGCACAGCTAATAATCAATGATATGGCAACTGTGTGTACAGAACAAATAAGAAAAGAAACACGTATTCTCTGTCTGTACTTACATATGCCAAGTGGAATGCAAAGAGGAGCAAATGTGTGCCTTAAAGCTGAACTCTCATTAATTTTTGACACACTGCTATTACACAAAAAAAATCTTTCCTCTTGTTGCTAAAATGCCCTTGCCAGCCTACCTATTTAGCTCAGCCTGTATACTTATGGCAAACGTTTGCTCTCAATCCTAGAATTCACTGTCTCAAAGCTTGGGATTTATGGAAGATGGAAATGACCCCTTTTTTTATTTTCTTAACTGGGGGTGGGGGTCCCTTCTGCATAAACCCTTTGTCATTCTTTCCGTTTTCATCATTTACATCACCCAGGGGAGCGGGGAAGCTACAAGCTAAGAGATTCTCGTTCTTCCTGCATTGAAACCGGTCCTCCAGACCAGTTTAGTGCTTTGCCACTCGCTACCCGCTCCTTTCCAAAATATCAGAGCACTCAGGATCCTCTCAACAGTGGGAAGAAGCTCCTTATCCCACGGGCAAACCGAAAAAAGGAAAAAAGTCCTGGGTTTTTCCCGAGTGAAGTGAGGGGACCAGGGACCCAGCAGGTCAAAAACCTGCAGCATGTTTTCCCTTATGATCCCTTTTGCTCTTTTCCCCCCAATTCAGTGAAAAAGACCGACATTTCCTATTTCCAAAGGCATCTCTGGTGAGAGGCATCCCTCCTTTCAAGCTCCCCCCTGCAATCCCAAACGCGGCTCTCCCGGTATTTCAGAGCACAAACCCACTGGTTTGCCCCGCTTTTGCTTTCTCCTCGGCTTCCACACGCAAGAGCCCACATGCAAAGGTTTGGCTTTCTCTTCCCCAAGCACGTTTTTCCCTGGCTGGGTTTACGACCCGACCAGGCTGCAAGAGGGGCGAACCTATGCCTCTGCCAGGAGCCGCGGCTGCGCGAGTGGCCCCACCACGCTGCCGGCCGCGGGTGGGTGAAGCCTGGGAGGAACCCGCAGCGCACACACAAGCACACCTCAGCTGTTCCCGTTTGCTGGAATGACCCACCGTCATCCTTCAGGAATGGCAGAAGCTATAGGATTTAGACCGGAATAAAGCGTATTAAACGTTTGCAAATTTTGAGTGCTACAGGACCTTTACTCGACCCTCCTGGAGCGGAGCCTACCTCCTACCAGAGAAAAACGCCAAGTCCCCGTAACGTCTCATTTTCACCACCTGCCTCCCTCATTTGAGTGATAACTTGTTGCCTCTGAATAGCTCATTAAGGCAATTAAGCCGACTTTAGGTACGAGGAGTTCAGCAGCATTCCCCCGCCTGCCGCTCCCGCCAGGAGCCGCTCCCCAGCAGCTCCCCGCCACCTCAGGTTACCCATTGCACAGGCTGACTGCATCTCACCTTTTTAAAAGCCAGCCCTTGCTCCGCTTACAGCCTCCCCGGCACACGGCAGGGCCTGTTCTTCTCATTTCTTTTTTTTCCGAACGGCGGGCTAGCCGCAAGATAATAATAATAGTAATAATAATAATAATGGAGTGAAAGCTATGCCTGTCCCCTGACTCAGGGCAGCGATTGCGGCAGCCCGGCCGCAGGAGCAAGCAGGGCACGATCTCTTCTTCTGCAAGGCCCTAACGAAGAGCCAGGCAGGCTCGGTGAGACCCGGAGGACGGGAGCATACCAAAACTAAGATTTTAATGCCGTCGCGGTGCCCGGCGTTGCAGCCTCCGGCGGCACATGACAGCGTGGGGTCAGCCGGCGATGGGACCGGCCAGCGTTCGCCATCCGCGTTGTAGCCAGCCTGGCTCCCTCCCTGCCCTCCCCAGGCAATTAAGCACAGAGCGCAAGGGGAGCCTTACACCCAGGCGTAACGGAGTCGCGCCGCGGTGCGTGACCTCCTTCTCCAAGGGAAATCTTGGAAGAACGGCTGATAGTCCTGCTGCATGTCAGCCTGCCTGAAAGCAGGGTGAAACACCACCTTGTTGTTAAAAATCCATATACGTGCACGGAAATAGAAAGACGCTGCCGCCAGCGAAAAATCAGATGGTACCGTTCCGCAGGGGGAGGCCCGGCTCCCCTGCAGCGCCGTTTTGG